GATTAACATTGTACTATTGTTGCTCTATCACACATCTACTAATTCCTTTGAGTATCCAACAATTCATCTTATTTTGTTAGGATGAATTTCCAAATCACAGAATATTTCTATTAAGGTTTTTCAAGCAGGGTCAGGTACACTTTCCTGTAATCCCAGTAGCTCAGGAGGCTGAGGCAAGAGGATAGCAAGATCAAAGCCAGCCTCTGCAACTTAGGGAGGGCCTGAGCAACTTAGCAAGACCCTGTCTCAAAATAAAAAATAAAAAGGCCTGGGATGTGGCTCATTGGTTAAGGGCCCCTGGGTTCAATCTCTGGTGAGATATTTATGTGTTTTTTTTCAAGGACTCAGTTTATACCAAGTGCTATTTTGAGCACTGTTCTTAGTTGATGCCATCCATCCTTCTATTTGTCTAAATTTCTCCTCAACTCTCTACATATGTCAAGCATGCCGAATGGTATATTATCCCCACTTCACAGATGAGAAGATTGAGGCACAGAGCGGCAAAGGATTTATAGCTGCTAAATATTTGGAGTTGGGTTTGAACCTGATAGGAAAAAAAAAAACTGGCCTTTTACCCATTGATGCTCTCTCTTTTCTTCTCAGATTGGGTGCAGAAAGCCACACCATGGGACATCGTGAACCAGCAGGAAGGAAAGTCTGGAGGAGCCCAGTAAAGATAGCACTGGACCAGGGTGGTGTGGCCAGGTCGAACCCAAACCTTATGCTCCAAGGAGAGGCAAGCACAGGGTGATTACATAAAGTCCCTTCCGAATAATTGCAGCTATTATTTGCTGAGCTCCTCTTTGGGCCCCACCCTGAGTTACAGATGCTGTATCTTTCCAAGAATTTTTGAGGCAGGCACTGCTCTAGCCATTCTAGACACAGGACACGGAGGCTACAGGAAGGGCAGGCACTCGCCCAAGGTCACAGTGCCCAGGAGTGGCAGGACAAGATTCAAACGCCAGCTGGTCAGTTCCCTGAGCCACAAAACCTCCTCTGCTCTTTCTCCTTCTAACTATTAAGTCATAAAAGAATATTTTTTTTCATAATTAAAAATAATTTAAAAAGTGAGGTCTCCCCTAAGAAAGTTGGTTCACTTTAAAATAAATGTCAGCCAAGAGCGTTTACTCTGAGAAAAATTAAAATCCCTACCTCACACCACACACAAAAAGTCACTTCCAGATGGATTGCCAGCCGACACGGAATGCAACATGGTGAAGCTCTAGGAAAATAACGTAAGAGAGCATCAGCCTGTTTTGGAGGTATGCAAATATTTCTTAAATAAGATATATATATATAGCTATCCAGGGCTCCGGATGCAGCTCAGGGGCAGAGCAATTTTGTACTATGCTTGAGGCCCTGGGTTTGATCCACAGGACTGAAAACAAAAACCAACAACAACAAAAAAATCACTATCCAGAAAAGATTGATAAACTAGACTATGCTAAAGTAAAACCCTTTTTTAAAAAAAAAATGCCATTAAGTGGTGCACACCTGTCATCCTAGCAGCTCAGGAGGCTGAGGCAGGAGGACTGTGAGTTCAAAGCCAGCCTCAGCAACTTAGCAAGGTCCTGAGCAACTTACCGAGACCCTTTCTCAAAATAAAAGATAAAAAGGCCCGAGGATGTGGCTCAGTGGTTAAGTGCCCCTGGGTTCCATCCCCAGTACCACAAAAAGAAAGAACAAAGGCATCAACAGCACATAAACTGACAAATGGCTTGTATCCAGAACATTTAAAAATGGACAACTCAACAGAAACCAGCCGAGACACTTGAACAAGCACATCACAGAAAAAAACAAAAGGACAGACAGAAGGTTAATGTGTAAAAGAAAAGACGTTCTATGTCCTGACTCATGGGAAACGCAAATTAAAATGACAGTGAGCTGCCACCTCACGCCCACCAGGATGACTTAAAGAGAGACAGCCGACAATGCCGACGTTGTCGTGAGGGCCCGAAGCAATGGAAATGTCTCCTGGGGGCTGGTGGGAGAGAGATTGTTACAATGACCTTGGAAAACTCTTGGGTGGTATCCACTAGAGATGGACAGACATAGACCACGGGACTCAGGCATCCTGCTCCCAGGTTTATGTCCAGGAGAAGTGTGTGTGTGTGTGTGTTCACCCACAGAATCGGCTCTAGAATGTTAAGAACAGCCGCAAACACGGATCCCCACTGCCTGGTGGATAGGTAAATAGACCAGGGAACATGCACACAATGGATACTACTTGGCAACCAGGAGGAATGGATTGCATTTATCAGCCCAACCCAGATGAATTTCACAACAGTCATGCCGCGGGAGAGAAGTCAGCCCAGGAGTCCACACTGCACATTTCTATCTGTTATCCTATGCAAAAAAAAAAAGGCAAAAATGGAACTACTGTGGATCGGGAGGCATACCTAGGTAGGAAAAGCAAAGTCAGGTCGACGTCAGCAAAGTAGGTTTCTCCACATGGAGGGAGAAAGTAGTACCTGGGAAGGGTCAGGAGGGGGCTGGGGAGCTGTGAGGTGGAATTTCTCTGCCTGGATGATCCTCTCAGGAGGCTGAGGCTGGAGTTCAAGGCCAGCCTCAGCAACTTATCAAAGCCCTAAGCAACTTAGTGAGACCCTTTCTCAAAATAAAAAAATAAAAAGGGTGTGTCTCAGTGGCAAAGTCCCTCTGGGTTCAATCTCCAGTATCCCCCCCCCAAAAAAAAAGAAAAGAAAGAAAGTTTAAAAAATGAGTTAGAAAAGTAGGCTCATTATCTTACAAGTGGTGGTGATGAGTTGTCTGGGGTTTAACTATGATTGGAAGGGATGTAGGATACTTGCTCTGTGCTAGGCACTGTTCCAAGTGTTTCATATCTATTCCTTTATTTAATCCTCACAACAATCCTTTGAGGTAGTTACTGTTATTATCCCCACTTAACAGATGGGGAAACTGAGGCATCATGAGGCTAAATTACTTGCCTAAGGCAGTCCGTTCTCTAGCTATCTGGCCCCAGAGTAGATGCTCTGGTCACCACCCCAAGATTATAGCAAGACCTGAGGGCCAAGTCCCACTCCACCACACAAGGCCCAGCACATGTGACTCTAATGGGGCCCTTGAACTTGGGTTGGCGGATGGACTTCCAGGGCCACAAGTACTTGGATAGGAGAAATAAAAGAACCAAAACCCTTCATCGCGTTTGCTTTTATTATCCTTCAAATGGATAGCCTTAAAATGCGGTCTGGAATCTCTATGGGTTCCCCAAGATCTTTTTTAGGGGTTCATATGTTCATAATGATATAAAATGTCTTTGTCTCTTTCATTCTTCAAAGGCTCCCAGACCTGTGACGAGACCGTCCCTCCGATGGCTTTTGGAATGAATGCATGCCTGTGCTTATTTTATTTCTTTCACTATTTTAGTTTTCTACAGAGTCAATAGTAACAGACGTGACCCACAATATTAAAAAGTTCATAAGTTTTCAAAGTGACACTTCTGAGAGCCTTTGCTGTCCTTGAACTTCAGCTCATCCTCCTGGGGTGAGGAACTCAGGGGACCACGGGATTATTTGTGAACACGGGGCTTTGTCCTGCGAGGAATTTACAGGGGGTTTTGAAACTATTACAGCCATTAGGGCGTCTCAAACGTCTTCCATGCACATCAAAACTTCTAAGTCACCTTATTCCTTTGGGCCTGCCACCCGAGTGACATTAAATGCATTAATAAATAAACACATGACATATTTGTTTTAAAAATATTTGTCTGTCTGTAATCAGCATGGAGTCTCTGTAACTCTGTGTTTGGTTTACACGTGTACAAACATGATCTTGAGAAGGGCTGGCCAGCTTGCCACAGGCGCTTTTAGCACAATGACAGTTAAGAATCTGTCCTCGTGGAGACCATCAGAAAAAATAAATAAATAAAACAAGGGGTGATGTCATGACGGAGGCCACAGTAGTGGTGGTTAGAGGTTCTTGAGTCCGAGATGCTTTTCTTTATATTTTAAGGTGCTATGGGGAACGGTGCAAGGTGGGGTGCAGAGGGTGGGGGCTCAAACCTGCAGAAGATTCCTCTGCAGTTCAAGTCTCAAGTTGCCCGTCTGGGATTCTGGGTGCTGGTCAGCCACAGAAACCCACACTTTGAACTTACAAAGACAGGAGTGAGGTCATTTAGTTGCAGACAAGAAGGGGGTAAAGAGGGGCTGGGGAGATGGCTCAGTTGGTAGAGTGCTTGCCTCACCCAAGGCCCTGAGTTCAATCCCCAGCACCCCAAGAAAAGGGGGGGGGTGGATCTTTTTTCTGCATATTTTGGTGACAAACAGCCCCAACATTCAAATAGCTCACAAAGGTTTGCCAGTTTCTGGAATTCACGCATTCATACTAGTAAAAATACCAGGCTTAGGATGATGCACTTGAACCCTCTGCTATCCCTGGCACGGCAAAAACCGAACCTATATCTGGTTTGTATCCAGTCCTTACTGAGCCAGGCCGGATTTCCAGCATCAACTTGTTTAATTCGCACAGCAGCCCAGGGGTTATGAACTATTATCACCTCCTTTTTACAGGTGAGAAAACAGAAGTTCAGAGAAGTTGAGTAACTCGCCTAGTGCGCACAGCTCAGAGGCGGCACTGACATTCCAAGGGGGTCTGAGGAGTTCAGAAAGGGAAGAAGCCTCCAGGAGAAAGATGTCGCCGGCTGGGCTGGAGCGGCCGGGGATTCCGCGGTGCCCGCACACCTGGGTACCTGGGGACGGGGCATCGCCTGGCGGGGGCGGGTGTATGTACCTGGGGCTCCGCAGCTGGGCAGTGGGGTGCGTGGGGGGACGAGCGCAGCCTTACCTGTCCCGGAGCTAACCCGGTGTCCGGCTGGGAGGCAGTGGCGACTGCGTGCTGTGCCTTTCTGGGTCCTCTTTCCTGTGCCCCACCCTGGGGGGCGGGCGGGCGTGGGGCGCCTGGGACCGGCCCGACCTGTGGGACCCGGGGCCCCAGCTGTCTGGGGAGCCGGTCACCCCGAGGCAACCAGTTCTTCCGGGGCTGGGACAACTGTGGGCGGCGGGAACCCAGCTGGGCGCCTGCAAGCTCATAAATAGTGCGGGCGACACTGGTGGCCGAGACCAGCGTGCGTGCAGCCGGCGCCCGCGAGGGTGAGCCGGGGTCCCGGAGGGCGTCCCGGGTCCCAGCCGCCCGCCTTCGGGGGGACGGTTTCAGTCCCGATCAGCCCCAGATTGTCCCCGGGGAACCGGAGAGAGCCCTGGGGACAGAGAGGGAGGACGGAGAGGGCCGGGCGACAGCTGGGGGGAGGACGCAGGCGGGGAGGACAGCGGCACTAAGGCAGGATGGGGTGCCGGGGGCCAGGGGAGAGGCTGGCTTCAGGCTGAGGACGGGGTCGAGAGGCGGGGTCCCTGGGGACAGGTGGGACGCTAGGAATCTGGGCAATAAGGCCGAGGAGGCTGGGTTGCTCGAAGCCGAGTGGAACGGCGCCACCGAGTCCCCAGCCCCCTCCAGCTGTGAATTAGGGCCGCGCGCGGCCCCGGCGCCGGGCGGTCCAGGGTTCAAATCCTCCCGGCTCCACCACGTCCTGGCCCTGCCACTGAGTCACCCGGTTGCTCAGTGTCCTCTCGGTGATAGGACGATGCTCGCCGCGGCCACCTCCTCCTAGGAATGCGGGAGGCGTCCCGGGTGCACCTGTGCTCAGTGCCCAGCGCGTCGCCAGGCTCAGAGCCTCGCGCTCGGCTCCCGCTGACGGGTCTCCTCTCTCTCCAGCATCTGGATCCCCAGCGCCTAGGAGGACCCCTGCCACCCTCCCTCCGTCCAGAGGAGGGACAGGCCGACGCCACTGCCCTGCGGGAGCCCCTTCTCTCCACCCCTGCTTCCTCCCTGCCCGCCCCCAGCGTCCCCCTACCATGAGCCCCCGCCGTGGCTGCTGCGCCTGCTGCTGGCTCCTCCTCCTCTCCTTGGGAGTCCCGCGGGCCCCAGGATACCCCAGCGCTGCCCCAGAGCAAGTCCATCTGTCCTACCCAGGTAAGTGTCCAGGGGTCCTGGCGATGAGTCTCCAGTGAGGCCCTGCCGTGCTTCCTTGGTTGGGGGGCAGGAAATCTGTGCCGAGTGCTGTGGACCCCAAGGCTGCTGGCCATTTCCTCCCGGGCCTCAGTTGTCCATCTCTGTGAAATGGGTCTACCAGCGTCCCGCCTCTGGCTGTGTGGGAAATGACGACGGTGTCCACCCCATCCTGGGTGCTCTCCTGCTCTCCAAAGGGGGCTGCTGCTGCCCCTGCTCACCGTGTCGCTGTTGTATCTTCAGGAACAGGCGTGTTAGTGCACAGTAGGCCCTAAGATCCATTGTGGAGGAAACTTCTAATCTTCCCCTCCCCCCAAAAGTACTGGGATTGAACCTAAGGCCTCTACCACTGAGCCACATCTCCAGCCTTTTTTTTTTTCTTGAGACAGGGTCTCTCCTGCCTCCTGAGTGGCTGGGACTACAGGCATGTGCTTCCTCACCAACTCCTCCTTATCCTGAGTGGAGCAGTCACAGGGGCACATGTCTGTAATCCCAGTGACTCAGGAGGCTGAGACAGGAGGATCTCAAGTCGAGGCCAGCCTGGGGCTCAGTCCCTGGGTACCAAATCCTGGTACCCAAAATAACTAATTAATTTAAAAAAGGAAAAGGTGTGAAATCTTGTAATCTGGACCTTCTGCATCCAGACCCCCTGGTTTTGAATCTCAGTTTTGCTATTTACCTGCTGTGTAGTCTTGGGCAAGTGACTTAACCTCTTGGACTCCTCATCTGGACAATGGAATAATAGGAGAATGACTTTGTGGTGAGTCCCTGTGGAGTGGCAGAAGTGAGCCTGGCATGCAGCAGTGATTGGCGTGCGTTTTTGTCTCAGGACAATGCTGAAGATGGTTGAGAACCTCAGAGAGAGCTTTAGTTTACATGTCCATGTCTATCAACATTCACCTACTTACTAGAAATGGGAACTGCAGCAGGGGCTTGGCTCCATGGTAGAGCACTTCCCTAACACATGCGCCCCTTTGGTTCCCCCCAAAAAGCTGAGACATTGAAAAATACTTATTAAGTCATTTAAAATGAGTAAGAACAAACACCTTCTATATTAGTATAAATGACTTTTTTTTTTTTTGTACTGGGGATTGAACTCAGGGGCACTTAGCCACTGAGCCACATCCAGCCCTAGTTCATATTTTATTGAGAGACAGTGTTTTTCTGAGTTGCTCAGAGCCTCGTTAAACTGCTGAGGCTGGCTTTGAATTGCAACCTTCCTGCCTCAACCTCCTGAGCTGCTGGGATTACAGGCACGAGCCACGGAGGATACAGGCATGTACCACCGCACCTTGGCTAAGTGACATTCTTAATGAAAAAAAAATCCAGAAAATTCTATTTTGCCAAAAAAGAAATATAATAAGGACGAGGACAGTGGAATCGACTTAAATCTTTTATTCTGTCTTTTTCTTTTCTTTTTGTGGTATTAGGAATTGAACCCAGAGGTGCTCTACCACTGAGTGACAACCCAACCCAGTCTATTATTATTATTATTATTATTATTATTATTATTTTGAGAAAGGGCCTTACTAACTTGCCTAGGCTGGCTTCAAATTTGCAGTCCTCCTGCTTCAGGTGTGCCACTGATCCCAACTAGATTTATACCTTTTAAAAGTCTGGCTGAACAGGTGACAACCAGACTGTCCCTCACTGCTCCTCTCCCAGTTTTTGTGGCACCTTGGTGCAGATGATGTAGGTGAAGGAGATCTGATCTCACCAGGCTTGTGGCTGAAACAGGGAGGAAGAGTTCAATAGGAGTTTCAGATAATTGTGGCTAGTTTTTCTTTGATACTGCACCAAAACACAACGTAAGTTTTTAAAAATTTATTTAGTCGTCAGTGAACACACAGTATCTTTATTTATTTTTTTGTGGCACTGAGGAGCGAACCCAGTGCCCCACACATGTGAGGCAAGCGCTTTACCACTGAGCTACAGCCCCAGCCCCAAGTTTTTCCTTATTTTGAATAAAAATTTATAAAGGTTTTAATTTTGAAGTAATTGTAGACTTCCAGAAGAGTTTCAAGGGGTGTCTGGACTTCTTCTGTGCCCTGCATCCATCTTCCCCTCGGGGGACTCTCTTCCATCACCCCAGCCCTGTCAAGGCTCAGGCACGCCCATGGATGCCATGTTGTTAGTGAACTCTTGGGCTCCACCTCTGCCTTTACTCTAATCCACAACCCCAGCCCCTCTCGGCATTTATTTCTACCCATGTTGGTTCCTCAGTCTTTTCTTATTTTTAAGTCCTTGACTCCCCCAACCCCTGCTTTTTCCTCATTGAGACAGACTCTCACTATGTTGCCCAGGCTGGCCTTGAACTTCTGGGCTCAATCGATCCTCCTGCCTCAGTTTCCCCAGTAGCTGGGACTAAATATGCACACCACTGCACCTGGCTCCTTGACACATTTTTTTTGGTGCCAGGGATTGAACTCAGGGAGCCATACCCCCAGTCCTATTTTGTATTTTTTTTTAAATTTAGAGACAATGTCTCCCTGAATTGCTAAACACCTTGCCATCGCTGAGGCTGCCTTTGAACTTGCAATCCTCCTGTCTCAGCCTCCCGAGCCGCTGGGATTCCCAGCATGCGCCACTGTGCCTGGCTCAGGTTTAATGTTTTAAATAATTTATTTTGAATATCATATATAAATGTTGTATTCAGCATGTTTGAATCTGAACCTCAGAATGGTCTGTAGATTTTTTTTTAATTGAGACATAAGATCTGGATATCTTTAAGGGGCACATTATGAGAATTTGATACATGTATATACTGTATAATCATCAAATCAGGATAATAAGCACCTTCATTTCTTTAATAATAACTATCATGATTTTAGATTTAACAGTGGTTTCCAAAAATATTACAGAGAATTCCCATTCCCCACCCCCACTCATTCCCTGTCTGTGAGCACCTTGTGTAATCATGGTACAATGACAAAAACCATTTTTTTTTTTTGACAAAAACCAATGCAGGCTCTCCCTGCATTCCAATTCCAGATTATATGATCTGGAGTCAGACTCTTCAGTTTCATGAGCCTCAATTTACTTCTTCATAAAATAGAGTGACAATAGGGACTACATAACACCCACAGCTTTACAACGGGACCTATTCTCGACCTATACTTGCTCCAGAAAAATGGAGCCAGGCACAGCTGTGTGCATATTTAGTCCCAGCTACCTGGGAGGCTGAGGCAGGAGGATTGCTCAAGCCCAGGAGTTGGAGGCCAGCCTGGGCAACATAGCAAGCTCAAAATAAATAAATTAATAAATAAATAAATAAAATAAAAATTAAAAAATTTAAAAAGCCAAACAAAACAACAAAACAGGAAACCAAGGTGTACAGGGCCTTGGACCCGCTGCAGGCCTGGTTCTGAGTCCACCAACTCCCCAAAGTCTGTGCCGTTGCAGGATCCAGTCCCGGATCTCATGCTACATTTTGTGGCTCCGCCTCCTGAGCCCGGTCCAATCTGTCAGTTTCTCGCTCCTTTGTCTGTGTGATCTGGGTATTTTTGAGTAGGATCAGCTATTTTGCAAGACGCCCCTCATTCTGAGTTTGTCTGGTGTCTCCTGATGGTGAATGAGGTTGTGAATTTAAGGCGACACTCCCATAGACGAGCTCTAGCGGCCCTTTCTCTGATTGATAGCAGAGGGTCCCTGATGTGGGTGTGGCTTTTGGCTGCTGCCGCTGCTATTGACCTTGACGGCTTGGTTAAGGAGACAGATGCCTGCTGGCTTTCTCCACCTAAAGTCATTATTCTCCTCTTCACAGTTAATAAATGGCTTGAGGGAGCAGCTCAAGACTCAGAAATCCTATTCTCCCCCAGTGTTCACCCACTAATTTTAGTATCAATCAGTGGATTTTGTCTGCAATAATTATTAGTGTGGTGCTTGCCTAACTGTGATAATTTTCTCATTCTCTCTTTCCACCTAATTGAACTGTTAGTATAAGGAGGAGTGGTCCCTCCCTCCTCCGCTTATTCAATTATTTACTCCTATCATGGACTCATGGGTATATCTTATTTTTCTTTTCCTTTTTCTTTTTGTGTTTTTGTTTTGTTTTGTTTCGTTCTGAGGATTAAACTCAGGGGCACTTAGCCACTGAGTCACATCCACAGCCCTATTTTATATTTTATTTAGAGACAGGGCTTTTCTGAGTTGCCCAGGGCCTCGCTAAGTTGCTGAGGCTGGCTTTGAATTTGAGATCCTCCTGCCTCAGCCTCCCAAGCTGCTGGGATTTTAGACGTGCACCACTGCGCCTGGCTCATGGATATTTCTTTTATTCCATAAGTGAATTCCAATGCTATTGTTAATTATTCCGCGGCTCACAGTGTCCCGGATTTGGTCCTTTGGGATTGCTCCTGATTGGCTTCTGTGTTCTTTCTTTCTAACACCCCCCCCCCCCTGTTTTGAGCGCTTCCTCACTTTCTGACACCATAAATGATTTCCTTCCCCTTCCTGGGAATCACCTATTCTCCAGGGAGTCCGAACTCCTTTTACTGGAGAATGGTATTTAGACACCAGTCTCATCACCAGGTGTGCTCACTGGGCCTGGGGTGTCACTGGTTCATCTCTCTCAATAAGCAGAGCAAGGTGGTCCCTGCACACAAACACGCACACCGCACATCTAGATGTCTGTATTTGTCTGTGTCAATATCGACATCACGAGCTCCCGCTGATACCTCCGATTTCCACCTAACTTTCGTGTGCTGGAGGAAGAGCCCAAGTCCGCAACATTATGCTAGACCATCTGGTATTTTGACGCCTTGACTTGGTTGCTGACATTTAACTGAACCAACCCCTTTCCTTACTTGTGATCTCTTTCTCCAACACCGAGGAGTCTGACTCTCCCTCCCACCTACCTACGTGCCTGTTCCACCTTAGTGTATATGAAGCAGCCTCAGCAAGGACACTGGTCCCCCTCCCCCCCAGTTATTCTCCTCCCCTACTCCCTTGAGTGTGCTGTGCTAGTCATTTTTTTTATATCACGGGGGCCATGTGGTAGTGCTTATATTTCATATTGGGTTCCTTCCACACGCTGGGTGGTCTTATTTATTTATTTATTTACTTATAATATTTATTTTTTTAGTTGTGGTTGTCACAATACCTTTATTCCCTTCATTTATTTTTATGTGGTGCTGAGGATGGAACCCAGGGCCTTGCATGTGCTAGGCGAGCGCTCTACCGCTGAGCTACAATCCCAGCCCAGATCACACTCGTGTGCCTTTTTTTTAAAAAATTTAATTATATTCCTGGAAATCATGCCATGACAGTGCATAGAGCTTCTTCTTTGTGTGTTGTACTAAAGATTGAATCCAGGATCTAGCACATGCTGAGCAAGCACTCTACCACTGAGCCACATCCCCAGCCCCATTTATCTTTTGAGACAGGGTCTCACCAAGTTGCTGAGGCTAGCCTTGAACTTATGATCCTCCTGCCTCAGCCTCTGGGATTTCAGACATGCATCAAAGCGCCAGCTCCTCATTCACGTTTGCCTCACTGTGTGGGTGGTGTTGAGGCTCCCTCCCATCCACAGGCATTTAGGTTGTTTCTGGAAGTTTACAATGACAACGAGTGCTGCCACCGCTGACCCTGTGCAGGCACACTTTCGTGTGCTGGAGGAAGAGCCCATGTCCGCAACATTATGCTAGACCATCTGGTATTTTGACGCCTTGACTTGGTTGCTGACATTTAAGAATTGGAAGCTACCACTTAAAAACCCGAATTTGCATATCTATCTATATTGTATGCTCCCGGAGATAAAAGAAATCTCTGTGTAAAGATTTACTCTAGAAGTCGATAGGTTTGGTGGCGCCCCGCCAGTTCCTGCCTGGCAGCTCTCCAGAGCTGAGCCACCGCTGTCCCTCTTGGAGAGGGCGTGTTCCACAGTTTGCGCATGCTCTGTTGCCTGCTGCCTTACAGCTGGCCCTTGTCCCGGTTTATATCACCTCCCTGGCCTCCAGACATCTGCATTGGCATCTCTCGAATGACATCACGTGTGTGCAATGTTTAGTTAGCACAGAGCCGTGCACAGTGAAGAATATTGATAACGATATTCATTTAACCCTGACTGTATCAGGCATTGTTTCAAGTGCTTGGCTTCCAGTCTCAGTAGCCACCAGTGATTGGTTCTAGAACTTTCCATGAACACCAAAGCCTGCTGATGCTCATGCCCAAGTCATCCAGTGGCACAGCCTTTGCACATAACCTCTGTGCCTCTACCCGTGCACTTTAACGCCTCCCTAGATCACGTACAATACCTAACACAACACAAATGATTGCTCACTGAGTTGTTTGGGGAACCAGGCCAAGGGAAGACTCTCCGTGTGTTTACTACTGACTCATTATTCCCCCCCCCCGGAACATTTTGAACCCCCAGTTAGTTGAGGGTCAAAAAGGATGTGGAAATCGCGGACACGGAGGGCTAATTTACTTTAAAACATATATTTTTAGGTGTCAATGGGCCTTTATCATATTTATTTATATGCGGTGCCGAGCATGGAACCCAGGGGCTCACACATGCTAGACAAGGGCTCTATTAGATATATTAAATATATAAGTGCTCTATTATATATATTAAGCTTATTTTTAGTATTTATTTTTTAGTTATAGGTGGATGCAATATCTTTCTTTATTTCTGTGTGGTGCAGAGGATGGAACCAGTGCACCACCACTGAGCCACGACGCCAGCCCCCTGTATATCTATTTTTTCATCTAAGCTTGGTAATGACCTTGCAGGGGACCTGGTATCGTCACTCCGTTTACACCCAGGGGAACCGGGGCTGGGGCGGCGCGGCGACCGGGTGTTGTAGTTGGGCAGCTCCCGGGCCCTTAGCCCACGGCTCTGCCAGCGCCCCTCCTGCCAGCCCCAGCGCCCAGGCCCCTGACCCGTGCCCTCCCGCAGGTGAGCCGGGCTCCATGACGGTGACCTGGACCACGTGGGTCCCCGCGCCGTCCGAAGTGCAGTTCGGGCTGCAGCCGTCGGGGCCCCTCCCGCTGCGGGCGCGGGGCAGCGCGCGGCCCTTCGTGGACGGCGGCATCCTGCGGAGGACGCTCTACATGCACCGGGTGACGCTGCGCCGGCTGCTGCCGGGGGCGCAGTACGGTGAGCGCCCCGCGGGCCGGGGTCCCCGAGGGCTGGAGGCCCCCGTCGGGGACAGGAGCGCACCGATGATGCCCACGGGCGGTGGCCGGGCGGATTGGTGACCCTGCCCACCTCGCCCCCGACCCCGGGCAGCGGGACGGAGCCAAGGAGGGCAGGGGCCTCCCCTGTCACCCGGCCTGGGGCGATGCGCTGACCGTGGCCTTTCTCGTCCCCCCAGTTTACCGCTGTGGCAGCGCCCAGGGCTGGAGCCGGCGGTTCCGCTTCCGGGCCCTGAAGAACGGGGTCCACTGGAGCCCCCGCCTGGCTGTGTTTGGGGACCTGGGGGCCGACAACCCCAAGGCCTTCCCCCGGCTGCGCAGAGACACCCAGCAGGGCCTGTACGACGCCGTTCTCCATGTGGGTGAGGCATCGGCCCGGGCGCTGGGGACGGAGGGGCGCCCCGGAGAGGGAGAGGGACAGGGACCAGGCTGGCCAGGAGGTGGTGTCCGAGGGTCACCAGCCTGCCCAGGTCACAGTCCCAGCTCGGCCCCGTAGGGTGAGAGATTTTCCCTGTATAATAATGAAAATAGGTCGGGCCTGGTGGCCCGCAGGTCACCCACCGACTCAGGAGGCCGAGGCAGGAGGATCGCAAGTTCAAAGCCAGCCTCAGCAAGTTAGCCAGGCCCTAAGCAGCTCAGCGAGACCCTGTCTCTAAATAAAATATTTAAAAAGGGCCTAGGAATCAACAACATGCCAAGGTGCTGCCTCTGAGTCCCTGTTGTTATCGCTGTCACCGTCCTCGGGGTCAGGGCTGGAAGATGGGGTGGGCCCTGCGTGGTTCACAGCACCAGCTCTGCAGTCAGGTCCCCTGATGGGACTCCTGGGTCTCACTTCCCAGCCGTGTGGCCCAGAGCCTCAGTTTCTCCCTTTGCCAAGGGGACAGTCGACACCCCCTTCTGGGGATGTTGCGGAGGTCGGAGTGACCGGGTGTGCGAGGCATTTGGAGTTGAGCTCGGGACACAATCATCCCCAAACTCTATGTGTACTGATGTCATTGTTGATCTGGGAGGGGACAAGTGACAGAGATGGGGGCTGGCGTGATCAGAGCGCAGCGGACAGCATCCTCTGAGGGGGCTTGGGGACCAGACAGAGCATGTGCGGGTGGGTTGGGGTAGGGATCTGGGACCCAGGGCTGTCACAGCTCCCCCCAGCCACACCTGAACCACCAGGTCGGCTCTCGGTTCTGGCCAAAGCAGAGCCCCGTTGGTCCTGACTCTTTCCCTGCCACTTGGCCCCCAGGAGACTTTGCCTACAACATGGATCAGGACAACGCACGCGTCGGGGACAGATTCATGCGGCTCATTGAACCCGTGGCCGCCAGCTTGCCGTACATGACATGCCCGGGGAATCACGAAGAACGCTAGTGAGGATCGAGGGCTGTAGGGGTGGCAAAGGCTGGGTCAGTTGAAAATGGCTTTGTCCTTCTTAGTGTCTCACCTTAGTCCCTCATGCTGCTGTGTCCCATTTGTAGTAGCCAAAAAAGAGGAGATGAGGGGTGGGCTGGGAGCTGGACGCTGGGTCTGATAGTGCAGAGGTGGGCTTGGGGCTGCAGCTCCCAGACCCTCACCCTCACCCTCTGACTTGCTTTTTTCTAGCAACTTCTCTAACTACAAGGCCCGATTTAGTATGCCAGGGGACAATGAAGGCCTGTGGTACAGGTAATCTGGGGAGAGCTGGCGGGTTGGCCTCGTTCCCCTGAAGGACCAGAGGTGCAGAGGAGACCCCCAGCTCTGACCCCTGCCCTTGGACCCCCCAGCTGGGACCTGGGCCCCGCCCACATCATCTCCTTCTCCACCGAGGTGTATTTCTTTCTGCATTACGGCCGCCACCTGGTCCAGAGACAGTTCCGCTGGCTGGAGAGCGACCTCCAGGTAGGTGGGTGGAGGCCCCTTGTGCCCGGGCCGGTCTCCTCTCTTCCTTGGCCTCACCGGGCCCTTCTCTCTAGAAAGCCAATCAGAACCGGGCGGCGAGGCCATGGATTGTCACCATGGGCCACCGGCCCATGTACTGCTCCAACGCCGACCTGGATGACTGCAGGTGGCATGAAAGCAAGGTGAGGACCCTCCGGGGCCGGGCGGGGTGGGGCGGGCAGCCAGGTGGCACCGCAGCCTGGGCCCCCCTCACCGCCTGCGCATCCACCAGGTCCGCAAAGGCCTCCACGGCAGGCTGTACGGGCTGGAGGATCTCTTCTACAAATACGGTGAGTGAGCCTTGCCACCCCCTGGCCCCGCCTGCCCGCCCGCCCCACTCAGGGCCCTGACCCCGTCTTCCTGCGTCAGGAGTGGACCTGCAGATCTGGGCTCACGAGCACTCCTATGAGCGACTGTGGCCAATTTACAACTACCAGGTGAGGCTCCCGGACAGACGGCCCAGGACCCTCGGGGCTGAGGTCAGTGTGGACACGGCCCCTGGACACGCCCGCCCTCCTGTCCCTTCTCCAGGTGTTCAATGGCAGCCTCAAGTTTCCCTACACCAACCCTCGAGGCCCGGTCCACATCATCACAGGATCCGCGGTGAGCCCCCGGGGACAGGGGCCTTGCTCTCTCCCCTTTGGATAGATATATGTGCATATATACATAGTTTTCTTTTCTTTTTTTTCCTGCTACTGGGGATTGGACCCAGGAAGGCTCTTCTTCTGAGCCACATCCCCAGCCCTTTTTTTTTTTTAATTTTAAAACAGAATCTCACTAAATTGCTGAGGCTGGCCTTGAACTTGCCATCCTCCCGCCTCAGCCTCCTAAGTCGCTGGGATTACTGGCGTGCACCGCCGTGCCCAGCAAGAGGGTTTATTTTTAAAGTCGATTCTTACAAGCGATTAAGACCAAAGTCAGACTCGCCGGGGATCAAGATTCAAACGGTGCAGAGGGCAGGAGGTGAGCCTTGGCCGCCACGCCCCCCCTGCTGTTCTCCATCCTCCTGTCTCTTGGGTGGCATTTGAAGCTGTTCCCTGCATATAGAAGTGAGTGATTGTCGAGACTGAGACATGTTCTCGGATCCCCACTTTGCAAAGAGGACCTGGATCACGCTCAGACCCGGGGTTCTCAGTCTTGGGGCACATCAGCATTACCCAGGGGGCTTTTACAACTCAAAGCCTGGGCCTGCGCCAGACAAAACACGGGTCTTTGAGGGCGGGACCCTGACCTCAGACACACCTTGGAGCTACCACCTGGAAGAGGAAACAGCCGGTTACCAGGGTCTGCTGGCTTCTCCTCCTCCTCCCAGCCTCGGCCCACAGTGGTCACTATTCTGACCTTCCTCAGCAGGGACTGCTTTTTTGTCTCATTTGATTGATGGATGGACAGAGTGCTGGGGACTGAACCCAGCAGCCGGTACCTCTGAGCTCCATCCCCAGCCCCTTTTATTATGGTCCGACACACAGTCTTGCCAAGTTGCCGAGGCTGGCCTTGAACTTGCCATCCTCCTGCCTCAGCCTCCCAGGTCGCTGGGATCACAGGACCGTGTCGCTGAACTGGGCTCCTCTCATTTCCAATTGTGAAGTGATCTCAGACGTAGGGGCTGAGAGGTTGCAAACATGACATAAGGAGGTTCCATGTGCCCTTCGCCGAGATTCCCCAAACTTGAACCTTTAGCCTCATTTGTGTTAATCTTACCCTCTCTCCTCTTAAGTCCTATTTTTAGATCCATTCAAGAGTACATTGCAGGGCTGGGCTGGGGCTCAGCGGTAGAGTGCGTGCCTGGCACGGGTGAGGCCCTGGGTTCCATCCCCAGCACCCCATAAAAATAAATAAGTAAAGGTTTTATGTTCATCGACAACTAAAAACAGAAAGAAAGTCGCAGACATGAATCCCTTTTAGCCACCTGTAAAGGACATTCTCTCTCATCACTCAGTGCGATGACCAAAGTCAAGTCGCCAACATGGGTAATACACTGTCACCCAACCTACCGGCCTGATTCAGATGAGCCAATCAAGGCCAAAATAATCCTTCCCCAGCCCAGACCTGGGCCGTGGCCACGTGATGTGTTTAGGTGCCTTCTCTTTAGCTTCCTCTAATCAGGGACATTTCTCCACTCTCTCTCCATCTTTTGACATTGACAATTCTGAAGATTCTGTGACACTGCTTTGTAGCGTATCCTTCAACTCGGGTTTGTCCAACGTTTGCCCATGATTAGATCAAAGCTCTACATTGGGGGGGACAGGGAGTAAGTAGCAGGGATTGAACTTGGGGGCCCTCAGCCACTGAGCCCCATCTCAGCCCTAGTTTGTATTTTCTTTAGAGACAGGGTCTCACTGAGTTGCTTAGCGCCTCACTTTTGCTGAGGCTGGCTGTGAACTCGAGATCCTCCTGCCTCAGCCTCCCGAGCCACTGGGATGACAGGCGTGGGTCTCGGTGCCTGCGAGGTCATGCATTTTTTGGTCACAACAGCAACCCTGGGTTGTCAGCGGGTCCTTCCAGGAAGCAGCGAGGCCTCTTGGACTTCTCGAGCCTCCTGTTTCCCAGCTGGGCATGTGGCCTGGTCTGAGTGGCTCCTGGCTCTTGCTTCAATCACTTGTCACCAAACGGGGTACAAAATGGTGGTTTTTGAGTCTCCCTCCTCTCCGCCTGTGGAGGCTGCTTCTCTCCTGGCATGGACTCTTCCCGCCTCGGGCCTGGCGTCTTAGAAAGCTCTCTCAGAGGGTCCCCTGTGGCCGGGGGAGACCCACCGATCTCTTCTATTCTTCAAATGGCTTCTGCCTTTCCATGTGCGTCTCCCCAGCTTCGCGGTGATCACCCCGGGAGGTATCTAGCTCAAGGGCCCGGGGCCTTGGGGGGCCGCCATTGGGACACAGCCGGGTGCTTCCCCAGAAATCCGAAGCCCAGCGGGAGGAAGGCTGGCCAGGCCCATGCGCCCCCGGAACACGGCTCTCAACTGGCTTTGTCCCTCTGGGGGGCAGCAGGGCCTGGCCTGACGGGTCCTTTCTGTTCCTTTGGGTCCTGAACCTGCCCCAGCTCCGCCTCTGACCCACTCTTCCCCGCAGGGCTGTGAGGAGCGACTGACCCCCTTTAGCATCTCCCCAGGGCCCTGGAGCGCCCTGCGCGTGAAGGAGTATGGGTACACCCGGCTGCACATCCTCAACGGGACCCACGTCCACATCCAGCAGGTGTCTGATGACCAGGTCAGTGAGGGACGAGTCGTTAGAACCTGGAACTCAGGAATGAATAAGTCTCAGAGCTCGGGAGGCTGAGGCAGGAGGATCTCGAGTTCAAAGCCGGCCTCGGCAAAAGTGAGGCCCTAAGCAGCTCAGTGAGCCCCTGTCTCTAAATAAAATGCAAACTAGGGCTGGGACGGGGCTCAGTGGTCGAGGGCCCCTGAGGTCAATCCCAGGGACCAAAAATAAACAAGTAAATAAGATAAAGCACTAGAGCTGGAAATCCTGGGTTCAAATCCTGCCTCTGCCTCTGGCTGCCCTGTCCTGATGCTCCCCTCACCAAGTACAGCCGGGAGCTGCGCTCAGACTCACACGCCTCGGGTCACACAGACGGGGTGTGCTGGGATATACCGGGGTGCCTGGACTCCAGGATTTGTGTTCTTTTAAAAAATTATTTTTGGTCCTGGAGATGGAACCCAGGGTGCCTTACCACTGAGCTACGTCTTCGGCCCTTTTTATTCTTATTTTGAGACTGGATCTTGGTAAGTTGTTTGGGGCCTCACTAAATTGCTGAGGCTGGCCTCCAACTTGTGATCCTCCTGCGTTAGCCTTCACAGTCATTGGGATTACAGGCGTGCACCATGGTGCCTGGAGTTGAGACTGTGTTCTTAATAACAGCCGCCTCCACTTCCCCAGTACTTGTCGCATCTGGGCTCCCCTTTTGCCCCTGTACACATATCTCATTTAATCCCCACAGTGTCTACGACAGAGGTTCCACCACTACCGTCTTTTTCTTTTCCTGGACTGGGGATGAGCCCAGGGCTTCGCACAAGCTCGCAAGCTCTCTCCCACTGAGCCACTTCCCCCGCCCTCAACTCTACTTTTCAAATGAAGAAAATATCAACTCAGAGAGGTGTAGCAATTTTTCCAGGGCCACCCAGCCCATCAGGGGCAGGGACAGGTGCTGAGCACAGGCCGCTGGCCCCCGGGCCAGGCTTTCAGCCCTCAGAGCCTTCCCTGATTCTGTCCTTTGCAGGATGGGAAGATCGTGGATGACGTCTGGGTGGTGAGACCCCTGGTTGGCCGGAGGATGTACCACTAGGGATGGGGGCCACTGTCATCGGGCACTTGCCGCCGTGGACAGTACGACTGGACATTGCTGTGACTGGGTGGGGAGTCAGGCGGGTCCCGACTCCCCTACTCCCTAGAGGCCCTGTGTGTCCTGACGGGGCTGGACAGTGGGAGCCTGGCTGCAGGGGGGACCGGCGTGACAGTGGAGCCGGCCCGGGTCTCGCCTGGCACAGACCCCCTCCTGGGTAGCATCGGGCACCGGCCTTGGGAATAAAAGGCTCCCAGGGGTGGCTCTGGGACAGGGGTCTGTGAGGGTGACCAGGGACAGGAACTCGAGTCCACCCCTCCACCGAACCCTGCCCGGCTCTCTGGAGACGGTCTCTCCCGCTGGACTGTCAACCTGGGCCCGGGCAGAGCCAGCTGCTCCTAGGCAGCTGCACACAGACTCATTACATGAATGAAGGTCGCCACGTGTCCGGCTCTGGCCAGGGGACACTGGGGACAGCAATGAACCAGCCCCAGTCCTGCCCGCTGGCAGCCCACAGGCAGCAGGGGAATCGTCATCCAACCCAGGTGACCAACGAGGAACGGGGGAACACCACGGAGGGACCAGGGCTGCGAGGTCACGGCTCAAGGCTGAGCTGGTGTCCCCTGTGGGCCTGGCATGTCCCGTCCCGGGCTGGGTGAGGCTGTGGACGTGCCTGGGCCATGGCGTCCACAGAGGGCAAAGGCCTGGCACTGAAGCCAGATGGCAACTGGATTCAAGTCTCAGCTGTGGTGAAGTGTCACCCCCTTTCTCCACTGAGAAGTCCTACCTGGGCTGCTCCAGACATCCCCACCACGGCTGACTTTAGGGCTGTCAGCAGAAGAGTCTCTGCAGCAGAGTCCATTGTAGATAAACTTCCCATTTTCCTGTCGCCCTGTTTACTTGGCCACTGGCCGGGAAGATACCATCCCTCCAGGTGCTGGACACCCTGTCACTAGTTCTTCACAAACATGTATCCAGTAGAGTAGTTTGTAGAAATGTGCAGACAAGGCCTCTGGCCTCGGGCTGGGCTTCACAGAGATGTCTACGTTCCTAAGAGGAGAGAAGTTACCGCCTGGGCTCCATGGTAACAGCTGGCAGGGGAGGAAGGAGAGGGGAGGAGAAGCTCCCCCCTTCTCAGGTGCTGTCCTTGAAGGGTTAACTTGCCCAGAACAGTGAGAGAAAAAGCTGCTTTATGTGAACTTCTGCAGACTGGGAACTTCGGAGCCCCTCCCCTTACACGCTGGGTATAAAACTCTGAAACTCCCTGAATTCGGGGTTCAGGGGATTGATTGATGACAGCAAAAGCTGTGCCCTCTGAGCCTGGCTGCAGCCAAATAAAACTGGGTCCTGCTGTCTCCGGTGCCCTGCCTCGTCTGTCCCTACAACAGGAGCACTTCCTGTGTGACTGGGGGCAAGTGACCCACCCTCTCTGAACCTCTGTTTCTTCATTTGTAAATAAGAATGATATTAAATGCGTGTGACAGTCCTGGTATTCCCAAGTCCTCTTTTTCTCGTGCCCCGCATCCAATTAGCTGTAAATTCTGTGGACTTTGCTTTTAAAATGTACCCAGAATCTCTCCTGCCAGCCCTGACCCTGGCCCTGTCTCTATTCACCTCCCGCCCACACTCGGGCTCCTGCCCTCTCCTGTCCCTGCAGTTCACCACCCACAGCCAAAGGGACCTGGTGCGCCTGGGTCGGCCATGTTCCCTCCCGCTCAGAGCTGGTCCTGAGATTTGCTGTACTAAATAATAAGCCACAGTCCTCTGGTGGCCCATGCGCCCGGCCCCCTCCCTGTGCTCACCCCTCCTCACCCAGGGGCCAGGATGCTGTCCCCAGGTATCCACAGGGTCCCCTCCCTTCAGGGCTCTGCTCAGCGGTACCTTCCCCATAAGTTCTCCCTGATCACTGGGTCACACGTCCCCAGCTGGGGTGAGGCTCAGTGTGGAGCACTTGACGAACAGCCCTGGGTCCTGTCCCCAGCACCCCGAAATATGAAGACAAAGCGGCCCCGACATCTCCACCCCGCTCTACCTTGTGGAGCACGCTTAGATCTTGTGACCACCGTCTGGACGCATTTCACTTATTTTTGGTCCCCTCCATCACCCCTAGGCCACGGGACAGTCTGCGGCTGTCCTGGTGCATAGTAGGTGCTCAGTAAACTGCCCGACCGCCTGGAGGAGGACTGAGAACCACGGGTACAGGCCAGCACCTGGCACAGGAAGCGCATGACAAAGAGCAGGAATGACAGTGACTTAGGCGACTCACCCAGACCCTGGGTGCGCAGGGGGCGGGGGGGGGGGCAGGGAGGCCCGCGGGTGGGGCTCCTGGCTCCACGCATCTCCGCACATGCGCAGGAGGCTCCGGGTGGCAAGGGGGAGACCTGGGCTTCCTCAGGGCGGAGCGAGCGGGGTTTGGAAGGCTGCACAGATGGCATGCGACGCCGCAGAGGACGCGGGAGGCTTTGTGACCTGCTTTTCCTGCCTCATGAAATTCACATGGTCACATTGTGCATCCAGGCAATCACTGAGCTGCACCCTCCCCCCCCTCCTCCTCCCCCCCCCTCCTCCTCCTCCTCCTCCTCCTTCTTCTTCTTCTCTCTCTCTCTCTCTCTCTCCTCTCTGTCTCTTTAATTTTGAGCCAAGCTCATTAAGTTTCTTAGGGCCTCCCAGCCTCGAACTTCTGATCCTCCTACCTCAGCCTCCTGAGTTGGTGGGATTACAGCTGTGGGCCACCACCGCCCCCAACTTCAGCTCCTTCATTTTATTTATTTATTTTAAAATATTTATTTTTTTAGTTGTAGTTGGACACAATACCTTTATTTTATTTACTTATTTTTAGGTGGGGCTGAGGATGGAACCCAGGGCCTCCCACGTGCTAGGAGAGCACCCTTCTGCTGAGCCACAACCCCAGCCCCAGCCCCTTCATTTTAAAAAATAAACCTTAGTCTTTCGAAACAGTCTACAGAAAAGTTGCAAAGACAGTAGAACGCCCACAAACCCCACACCCAGCTCTCCCTTTTATTGAAATCTTAGTGTCTCATCTTGTTGTAATGAACCAATGGACAGGACCCGGGTGAATGGCCAGCCCAGGAGGCTGGGCCAAGGGAGGCCGTCTTAGAAGGCCCCTGACTGCAGGATCCCATTCAAGGCTTTCGGAAGGGCAGTCTCACCTGTGCAGCCAGAGTGGACTCATTGTTGCCTAAAGTTGGGGGGGGGCAGAGGGAGGATTAGGTGCCAAGGCACAGGAGGAAGCTCTGGGTGATAGAGATGTTCTCTGTCTGGTGCTGGGGATGGAACCCAGGACCCCACAAGGGGGAGGCAAGCACCGTACTACCGAGCCACACCTCGGGGACTATGTGATCTTTTTACGACGCCTAGATGTGTTTTTGACTTGGAATTTTTCTTTTTAATTCTGCCCATTGCTTAATTTATATTATGTTATTTATTGATTCCTATATTTACTATGTATGGATCAAAAAAAAAAAAAAAAGAGAGAGAGAGAGAGAGAGAGGTGGTTAGAAGCCCAGACCCTCCAAGCCAGGCTGCCTGTGTGGCTTTGGAGAAGTGACTTACCCTCTCTGTGCCTTGTTTGCACATTTGTAGAATGGAGATGACATGCTTAGACATGTTGTGGGGGCAAAGGAGGCTGTGTGCATTAAATGCTCAGCACAGGCAGGGCCTGTGACGTGGAAGGCTCAGGGAGCGTTCACAGTTGTCACTACCCAACATGCTGGGCTCCCCGATGGCATCAAGGGGTGTGTTCATGAGTGTGAGCCTCTTTCAGGGCCTCGGTGTTGAAGTCGGTCTCCCTTCCTGTTCCAGGTGGGGGCTTCGTTCTCCCTCTCCCCTGCCCCAGCCTCAGTTTCCTCATCTGTGAAGTGGCTCTAAAGGTCCCACCCTATAGACAAATGATGAGCAGTAAGTACAGTAAGTACAGTAATGTGGGCAGAACGGTCAGAGAGGGCCTGGCGTAGAGGACAGGAGAAAGTCTGGGAGTAGCAGATATCAGATAACAGGGGATTTAGATATTCCACGATCATCAAAAGCCAATGAGAATAAAAATTCTTACAGTAGTACTTGCAGGCTGGGCTGGGGCTCAGTGGAGAGCGCTTGCCCAGCACGAGGGAGGCCCTGGGTTCGATTCTCAGCACCACATACAAATAAATGGATAAAATAAAGGCCCATCAACATCTAAAAAAATATTTTGAAAATAGTACTTACCCCTGATGAATATTTTCCACATATAGGTTTATGCCTGTCTGTCTTTCTCTCTCTCTCTCTCCATATTTGGAATTGAACCCAGAGGCACTTTACCACTAAACTACATTCTTGGCCTTTCAATTTATTTTATTTCAGGACAGGGTCTTGCTAAGTGCTGAGGCTGGTCTTGAACTGTGGTCCTCCCGCCTCAGCCTCCCAGGTCGCTGGGATCACGGCTGCACCACCACACTCAGCTGCCTTTCTTTCCCTTTAAGATCAATTCCAGAGTTGGGGTTGCTGTGTCAAGTGAAGAGTAGGTGACATCGTTGAGTCTCTTGATGGCTATCACCAAAAGGCTGCCTGAGAGGCTTTTTACATTTTTTTTTAATTTTTAAGAGTGCTTCTTATTTTGTATTCTTACCAGCACTGATTATGATATTTAAAAGATATTTTTTCTCAGCTAAGTACAATAGCTCATGCTTGTAATCTTAGCAACTCAGGAGGCTGAGGCAGGAGGATCGAGAGTTCAAAGCCAGCCTCAGCAACGATGAGGTGCTAAGCAACTCAGTGAGAGCCTGTCTCTAAATAAGATATTAAAAAAAATTAGAGGCCAGCCTCCGTAACTGAGTAAGAAGTCTTGTCTCAAAATACAAAATAAAAGGGGCTGAGATGTAGCCCAGTGGAAAAGTGCCCCAGGGTTCAGTCCCTAGTGTGTGTGTGTCTATTTTTTTCTCCCAAGATACCTAAAAAATCAGTTTAGTAAGCATTTCATTCATTGCTTATTCACCAATTCCATTTTCTCATTTATTGTTTGAATTGTTTTTTTTTTGTATTTTTGTTCATATCTTTTGCCTATTTTTCTGTTGTATAGACAGCTGTTTTATTGACTTGCAAGTGCTTTCTATATATGAAGGACCTAAAGCCTTGCTTGCTGTCCATACACAGTGATTCACCGTTTTCCTTGATACCTAGAAATCTACAGTCTTTATTGTTACAAGTTCAAATGCTCCTCCCCTCTTCTCCGGTCGCCATCCTCTAAGAGTCACCTCCACAGCACTCCTCCAGGGAGGCTCTGTCGGAGGCTCTGATTTTCTTCTTCCAAGGCCTTGAAGTAGGAAGGGGGGGTCCTGGCCCACCCTGAGTAAGCTCTTGGGGCAGGTCTGTCACCGGGATTGTCCCAGGGGTCTGATGTCTACCTGGGTCCTCAGCTAAGGTACAAGGGGCGCTTCCCCTAACACAGTTCTGCAGCCCATTGCCCTGAAACTCGGGCTGGGGCATCAGAGAGACAGACTGCGCCCGTTTCTCCTCCCATCACTGTGGCCTGGGTAGGATTCCATCCTCAGCCCCTGGTCTTGCTCCTTCTAGAGTAGAGATTCTGTGAGGAGTCAAAGGAGCACAACCCAGAGCCTTTCCTGCCGGCGAGGAGCCGCGGAATGCGGAGCGGGATCACACCATCTTGTCATACGTGCTCAGGCCACCAGGGGGAAGCAGAGGGCAGCCGGTGAGCAGCGCTCAGGTCCAGGGTTTGCCCCACGAGGTTGAGGCTGAGCGAGGGAAGAGGTTTCTTTCAGCCTCCGTGGCCTCCTGGACGAGCAGAGGTGGGTGTCAGAGCTCGTTGTTCAAATCAAATGGCTGAGCAGGGCGCGGTGGCGCACGCCTGTAATCCCAGCGACCTGGGAGGCTGAGACAGAAGGACCACAAGTTCAAGACCAGCCTCAGCAACTTAGGAAGGTCCCAGGCAATTTAGGGAAACCCTTTCTCAAAACAAAAAATAAAAAGGAGGGGCGCTGGGTTACACCTGTAATCCCAGCGGCCCGGGAGGCTGAGGAAGAAGGATCTTGAGTTCCAAGCCAGCTTCAGCAAAAGCGAGGCGCTAAGCAACTCAGGCCCAGTCTCTAAATAACATACCAAAAAGGGCTGGGGGTGTGGCTCAGTGGTCAGCGCCCCTGGGTTCAATCCCTTGTGCCAAAAACAAACAAACAAACAAAAAAATCAAATGGCTAGAATTATGACTCTATCAAGAGTCATAATCATAGAAATGCTTGAAACACAGGAAATGTATTAAATCTTCAAAATGGACATGCTAGGATTTGGGAATGTAGCTTGGTGGTAGCGCCCTTGCCTAGCATGCCAAGTCCCTGGGTTCGATTCCCAGCACCGCAAATAAATACATAAGTGTACATTCCCTCTAACCGTTCTATTCATGGTAGTCTATTCAGAGGAAATAATTAGAGCTGTGCACAAATGTTTAGCTCTTTGGATTTTTTAGGAAACAGATTTATAG